TGTAGGTTGCCTTTTCATTCTGATTATTTCCTTTACTGTGCAGAAGCTTTTTAGTTTGATATAGTCCCACTTGTTTATTTTGCTTTTGTTACCTGTGCTTTTGCTATCATATTAAAAAAAAATCATTGCTTTTTCCCTGTTTTCTTCTAGGAGTTTTACAGTTTAACATCTATGTTTAAGTCTTTAATCCACAGGTATATAGCCAAAAGGATGAAATCAGGATCTCAAATAGATATCTGCACCTCCATGTTCACTAAAGCATTATCAACAATGGGCAAGACATGGACACAACTCTCATGTCTATCCACAGATTAATGAGCAAAGAAAATGTGTTATATTCACACAATGGAACATTATTTAGACTTATAAAAGGAGGAAATCTTGCTATTTGCAATGGCATGGATGAACTCGAAGGACATTATGCTACGTGAAATAAGCCAGTTACAGTAGGACAAATATTCCATGATTCCACTTATATGAGATATCTAAAATTGTCAAACTCACAGAAGCAGAGTAGAATGGTGGTTTCCAGGGGCTTCAGGGAGAGGTAAATGGGGAGTTGTTCAATAGTTATAAAGTTTCAGTTATGCAAGATGAGTAAGTTCTGGACATCTGCTGGACAACACAGTGCCTATAGTAAACGATAGTGCATTATGGACGTCAAACTTGTTAAGACGGTAGATCTCATGTTAAGTGTCTTTTGTTTGTTCGTTTGGTTGGTTGTTTTGTGTTTTTTAGAAACAGGATCTCACTCTGTTGCCCAAGCTGGAATGCAGTGGCATGATCATAGCTCACTGAAGCCTCAAACTCCTGGGCTCCAGCAATTCTTCTGCCTCAGCCTCCTGGGTAGCTGGGACTGCAGGCGCATGCCACCATGCCTGGCTAATTTTTCTTATTTTTTTGTAGGGACAGGGTCTCACTATTGCCCAGGCTGGTCTCCAACTTCTGGCCTCAAGAGATCCTCCCACCTCAGCCTCCCAAAGTGCTGGGATTATAGGCCTGTGCCACAGCACCCAGTCTTAAGTGTTCTTATAACAACAAAAACAACCCAACCTCCCCTCAAAATCAAAGAGGCACAAAGATATCCAAACTCATCAAATTATATATATTAAATATGTACAGCTTTTATATATCAATTGTACCTTAATAAATATATTTAAAACAAAACAAAAAAAAAACAGCAGGTAGATTTCTTTTGGTGCCACCAGCTCTCTCATTAACTGTGTGATCCTGGGCAAGGCATTCACCCTTTGAGTCCCAGTTTTATCATTTCCAAAGCAAGAAACGGGTCTATACCATCCCCGAGTGCCTTTCACAATGGAAGACTATGACATGGGGACTTGCTGAAAGGCAGGCCTTTCATGGGGTAGATATCGGCAGAGCAGCAAATATCTTGGAGTGCACCAGAGATCAGAGGGTTGAGAAACTTCATATTTGCGGCATTTATGATGCACCTACTGGTTGCAGGATGGCCACAAAGGCAGGAATGGGACTGGACTCCTGATGGGGACTCCTCATACCCCTGGGCAGCATGTGAGGAGGCAGCAGAGGGTGACAGAGGACCAGAGGAATTTAAAGAGAGATGAGGCCGGCATGGTGTCTCATACCTGTAATCCTAGCACTCTGGGAAGCCAAGGTGGGAGGATCGCTTGAGGTCAGGAGTTCAAGACCAGCCTGAGCAACAAGACCCTGTCTCTACTAAAAATAGAAAAATTAGCCAGGTGTGGTGGTGCATGCCTGTAGTAGCAGCTACTTGGAAGGCTGAGGCAGGAGGATCACTTGAGACCAGGAGTTTGAGGTTTCAGTGAGCTGTGATGACGCCATTACACTCTAGCTGGAGTGACAGAATGAGAATCAATGAATAAACAAATAAACAAACAAAACCCAAACAAACAAATAGAGATGGCCCAGAGATGCTGAGCCCGAGTCTGGGCCGAGTAACTAGAGCTGAGCCTCCTCCCAAGCTGGATGGTAGCAACACCTCTCCGACCTACTGGGGACCCACTTGTCCCAGGGAGAGCCTCACTCTGCTGCCTTCGTGGCTCTGGGGAAATGTCTTCCACGTACTCCTACTGCTGACACTGGCCTTTACCACTGGGCTCTGCTCTCAGTTCCCAATTTAGAATTGATCCTGGACTTCAGACTTCAGACTGACACCCCTGGGGATAGCACCCCCTATGCTACGGGTGTGATGCTCAGGACTGAGCCCCACCTGAGTTTCAGACTCAGGGGATTCCCTGTCCTCCAACATTTATGACTCCCTGAGCTCAATTTACAATGAATGCCTGTGGAGGTGGCGGGTGGGAATGAAGTGGAAAAAGAAAATGAAAACAGCAAGGGCTTTGAAGTGAAGTGCAGAGAGGGTTTGACAACAACACCGGGGACTGGTATTCTGGAAGGCACTTGAAGTCGCCAATATTTAATTCAAAAGCCAAACAGAAAAGGATTGACTAACACGCAGTACGATCTTCACCCCCGCCGAGGCATCGGGTTTCTGGGCTCAGTGGGGAGGGTGGCTTCATCAGTCATACCCCCTCTAGCACAGAAGCCATCGCTCAGCTTGAGCTGGGCTACTAAGTGAAGTGTGGGTGAGGGGGAAGATAGCTCATTTGTCAGTTTTTCCCATTCAAACCCAAACTGAACCACGAAACTGCAAAAACACTTCCGTACTTACTGGCATGGTTTTGTCTCCAAAGAAATAAATGGTCTTATAACCCTCATTTTCCAGGTGTCTCAGGCAATATCTCTTGTCCCATCCATCAGGGAAGACATCAAAGCTGATCTGGCCTCCTGCCGGGTGCGGGGGGGCACATAAGAGCTAAAGGTGAAGAAGAGGCTAATGACATGTCATTGAAAGAAATTTTTAATTTACTCTTTGTCAGCAACTGGATTGGTAGGGTTGATTTTTAACTATGTAGTTTGCTATTATACTACATTACAAACAGGTTCTAGAAATTAATTCTATGTCATGTTTTTCATCTGGCTCTAAAAATCAGACATAGAATGCCAATTCAGGATGAGAAACATATTTGCATTTGCGTGCTCTGTCAAGCAAGTGGTTTAAATGAAGCATGCTTATGAAAAATCAGATAATGGCTTCATTCTGTTGCGTTTGTCTTGAGCTTTAACACACCCTCAGTGGAAAATGCCTGGAAGCAGACTGCATCCAGCTTCTCTTGCAGGAAAAATAAAAACCACATTGAAGGTGATTTACAGGCAGCTTTCATGGGCAACAAAAACCCTCTGAAGCTTTGTCAGAAAGATGTCCATCTCACCTTTCAGGAATACTTAAAACTCCACCCATTCATCTGTTATACATGATTCCTTTGCAATTCTCGTTTTCCTACAACCTGTACCTTAATTAAAGCTAGCAAAATGAGAGGGCTTTGAGCAATGACTCATTAGCACTGACAAGAGAAATCAGTTTGCAAAGAACCTGCCAGGCATATTCTACCAAGAGACAAGTCTGAGAACATCTATGCTGCACAAAGAACTCTTCATTAGACACCAGAAACGTTCACACACTGGCTGTCACAGTAAATAAAAGGTCTGTAACTTGGGCAAGTCTCTTCTCCTTTCTGGGCCTTGGTTTCTTTTTTCTTGAGAAAGAGTCTCACTCTGTCACCCCAGCTAGAGTGCAATAGTGTCATTGCAGCTCACTGCAACCTCAAACTCCCAAGCTCAAGTGATCCTCCTGCCTTAGCCTCCTGAGTAGCTGGGACTACAGGCACACACCACCACAACTGGCTAATTTTTCTATTTTTAGTAAACACGGGGTATTGCTCTTGCTCAGGCTGGTCTCAAACTCTCGAGCTCAAGCAATCCTCCCATTTCAGCCTCCCAGAGTGCTAGGATTACATGTGTGAGCCATGGAGCGTGGCCGGCCTTGGTTTCTTGACCTGTGAAAGCAACCAACTGACTCCTAAGGTTCCTTGCCATTGAAATACGATTCCAAAACATAATCAGTCTAGTTTACCTAAGAGGTTCACATTCCATCTCTCTCTCATGGAGCCCACTATAGTGCTTCTCTTCCGTCCAAAGGTGTGAGGATAAGTTCTTACTCTTCGTTAATCAAAGTGCTTCTCTTTTGACTAGGAGAAGTACAGGCAGGAAGAATCTTGCTAAGAATTTTAGAAGAAAGCCAATAGTATGGAAGCCACTTCCTCACAGGGCACGCCCTGCTACAGCTGATTATGCAGAAGAGAGAGTGGCTGCTTTTCCTCCACAGATCATACTATTTAACCCCTTCCGCCCACCTTAAAATGAGGCGTAGTGCAATCTCAACAGCTCACCGGCCCATAACAAACTCTTGGCAAATGGGCACCAAAGTTTAGAATACATTTAAATATACATTACCTATGGAAAACGTGAGGCCTTTTCCTGCAAACTCTTTCCGTAGATCTGCTATAAATTTTTGTCTTATATTTTCTTTCTGAGAAAAACAAAGAGATACCAATTGTGTATTATATTGCAATTTAGAAAACACGCTTCAACCACTGGCCACAAAGTTGCATGTCTTATCTTATTTTCATAAACCCAGGCATTCAGCAAGGATATTTCAGAAAGACTCACTTTATCGAGTTCATAGAACTCAATGCGTTCTTCTTGGCTACAGCTCCTTCCAATAGGGGACACGTTTAACATCCCATTTCGGAATTCAATGAAAGTACCCCTGGGGAGAAAAGGGTGACAGAGGGTGCCCAAAACACATCATTTATTTGGACAACATTATAGATAGACAAACAACCTCAAAGGTTTGGGAAATTCTAAGAAGCAGAGCCTGATGTGATCAATGTTTCTCAGAACTGTGCTATGCAATACTGTAGCCATGAACCACATGACTACTGTGGCTATCATACTGCACAGCACAATCTAGAAATGTGGCTAATTGAAATTGAGATTAGATTTGAAACACTTAAGATGAAAAAGGAATGTGGTCATCAGTAATATCCATATTGACTTTTTGTTAAAATGGTTATATTTTGAATATATTGGGTTAAATA